CGGGTCCTCAACAGCCGTTCGGATTGTTCGAAGTTGTCTAGAGCTTTGGCCCAATAGCCTAACTGCAAGGCAGTGGTGGCAAGCGAACTTAATGGTGGTTCGCGGTCGCCGTGTCATACTGTCGTCATCAGGCTTTGCGACTGTTGGTTTGCCAGGCCTCAGCCCGCCGCACCCTCGTAGCAGAGTCACTGCTGGTCCGCTACTGCAGGTTTGAATAAACTGGAATTGAAAACTGAAATCTTTGATCCCCAAACGATAATAAGTTCAAAGATTGAGTATTGAGATCTCAGCAATGTAGCAGCCTAAAAACGTGGGCCCACGTGCACTAACGCCGATTCTTTGATTTCTACAACCTCGTTCCCAGACATATGTCGTCTACACGACTTCTACTGAGACCATCCACGCACAGTTACTGTTAACAGCCCAAAAATAGCAAGAGAAGTTTGAGGCGGCAGTTTTAAGCTTACTCAAAATAAGTGCAAGTTCGTCTAATTGCAACTTTAAAAATGCAAGACAGTCTGTTTATTTATTTCAGTATGGATAAGATGGATATGAGCAATAAGAAGTTAAAATATGGCCTGTAAAACAAACTTAATTCGGTGCGATTGCAGCATTATAATTAAAATGACACACAAGTTCACGATTATTTGAGGCCACGCATACTAGGTGGAGCACAAACGACAACAGCAATAAAACAGTGTGTTTACACTCACCTTGAGGGTTTTTAGGGAAGAGGGACCTGTGCCAGACTTGTTGTTAAACGACGCTCTGCGTTTACGACTGGCATTGAGAACGACTCCAAGGAGGACCTCAGTGTTAAGACTGCGTTCATGAGCCTCGTCAACGATGATAACGGAGTAGCGTTTGAGGAGAGGGTCGAGTATTGCCTCACGCAGTAGCATGCCATCAGTCATGTAACGTAAAAGGGTCCGTTTGGGGTCACTGCAGTCCTCAAAACGGACGCAGTAGCCCACTGGCCCAACACCCACTGGACCACGTCCCAACTCCTCGGCGACACGCTGGGCAACGGTAATGGCGGCTATTCGTCGTGGCTAGAAAAACGAGTTAAAGGCATTTTACCAAAGAGGCAAAGAAAAACATGGACAATCAACAAGACTGAAAGGGTTAGCACGTAAGGGTTAAGCAAATAAATTTAGGACTCACTTACAATTGTGTAGAAAGAAATAAAAGAAGCTAGATATCGTTGACGGGGGTTAAAGGAAACGTATAGGGGGCAGTCTTTAGTTAGTTCAGTATTGTAGTTCAATATTGTATTCAATATTTTAGTCTATCAGTCATCAAAGGCTCTAAATAAGGCTTGTGACAACTCGCAGTTCTGCTGGGCAAGAGCGATACGGTGATGGTAGACTACAGCAGAAGTGAAAAATAGAACGATTATACATGTGGACTAAAAGCAGTCGCAGAGGATCCGCAATCCCAAAATTATGGGCATTATGACTACTGTATCTCTGTATCGAAACTCGCCCAAACCTAATTTATTGCCAGAAAACCACGCTATGAATAAGTGCGAGGGACCCTTTCCGGGGAGAAGAGGGAAATTTACTATCCGTTCTGGAAAGGCTATTAACATGTTCGGTCATGAACCGTCAAAACGGTATTTCTCGGAAATTTAGCCAACTGTTCTAATCCGCAGAAAAATCGTTCGTTCGGGAGGGCAAGATGTTTTTTAATATTTTCAGCTGCAGTTAAACGTTGTGCCTAGTTGAAGTACTGGGTGTATTCCGAGTGTAAGAGATAAACTCAACGGAAGAATTATTGAGAATAAACGGAACAGATTAGGAAGGAGCTGCTCCTAGGATCGATCTTTTACAGGAAGAAAACAGTAGCACTCCAGTTTCTGCACGGAAGGCTATTTTTTAAAAGCAGGATTAAGGCAGAGAGTCAAGACAAATAAAATAAGCTAAAATAGAAAATACTGATGCAACGGTTATAGATGTAGCCAACCTGGGATATGGCAATTGCCCCCGACGAAGTAAAACCTCCATCTAGTAGAAACTGGGGTAATTGGGTGGACTTTCCCGTGCCGGTGGAGCTAATGATCACACAGTTATTACAGTTCCTGACTGCATCAACAAGCTGCTTCCGGTATGGCCAGATTGGCAATTTTTTGCGATCCTGCTGCAATTTTTTCGCCTTCTCTTCAGTATGTTTTAGATCAACCGAATTATTCATCGTGGGGACTGGGCTGCTACCTGAAACAAAAGGAAAGTGTCGGAATAACGAGAATTCGGAATATGCTTGCGCCTGAAATCCAACTACTACGGCCTGGTGCACTTATGACATTGCACTGACCAGCCGCGACACTTCTCCCTAGTGAACTATAAAAGGGCTACCACCGATAGGCATGCTTGCACCTGACAATGATGGGCTAGAGAAAAATTTCATTATATTTTAAGCAACAGATCGTCATCGTCTAAAGCAGAATAATTGCATGTGCAGTGGTTTATATCTGACAGCTATGAAATGATCGAAATGGGAGTTGCCCACCACTATGGTCGGCAGTTTGGTAGTTTGCGACAGCTGGCACCGGTAAAAGATGCCATGGACCATGCAGTCGTGGGATTTGCATAAATCTGGTAACTGCATGCAAACGTAACAAGGTTCCTGACTGGTGTCCCAATCCAGCCCATGAAAATATGGTACTATAGAATTTTATCCTCCGTGGTTACGTAAAGGGCCTCCGAAGAAAAAAATCAGCGCCTGAGGACGACAAATACAGTCAAAACTGTTAATGTCTCTAATGACGGATACAACTTCGGTGACTGACGTGCAAAAGACTATGAACTTCGTTATCACAATTTATGGCAGATCATACACTTCGGCTGAATCATTTAAACGAAAATTGCACGGCTCGGGAACTCGGAAGTAAGGCTCCAAAAGCTGTGTGGCAAGCTGCAGTTCAAGTGAAATATACGACGCCAAAAATGAGCCCTTAGGTTTAAAATGGCGATGTCAACCAAGACTTTCCTGATTACCTAAAATGGACCACAATGCGAAAGTGTCGGTAGCCCAAGATGGCAACAAGGCAGCACAAGTGGATAGTATTGGTATATTAACTTTTCCAATTAATAAGTTAATTCTTATAAGCTTTCGTGAAAATGACAATTATAGGGCTTGTCTAGTGGGTTAGTCACGATGGTGCATCCAAAGTGCACGTAATAGAGAATTTCACAAAACACGTGACAATTATGTCAATACTTTGAGCCTTCATTTACACGTATACCTCACAAAAACCGGCCTCGAAAATTTTCACACTTACTTAAAACAAAGGTTTGGATGTATGGGTGGACACCGGTTAAGGAATGTTAGTAGTGACGACCGTAAATGGGGAATGAATATCTTGATACGTCTGTCAATTTCCGGTTTTCAAAACACAAGTCCTAATTCGAGTACCGGTTTAAGGGGCTACCTGCCATAATCTTAAAAGGTAGAGGGCATGCAGGGCGAATGGCGAAAGTGATAAACGTAACAGCGAGGGCGCGTTTAAAGCGAGCAGACGAGGTCCTTTTCGGACGAGTCAACGTGGCGCCGATAAGCCACGAATATGTAGACAGAATCAAGCAGGCATACACCTAGCACAACTATGCCGGCAATCTGCTGGCATGTAGCAGGTTACTGTATGATGGTAATATAATACCGGTATATGCTGGCATATATGCCAAAAATGTTATAGCAAGATTACTGCTATAAGAGCACTCGAGCCACATGTGAAACAGCGGGTCAAACGAAGTAGATCTATTGGATCACTCGGTTTACATAAACTAAATCTACAGGTAAAGGGAATTCTCAACTAATAACGGATAAAACCAAGTGACATTGTAAACTGTGTACTAATTTAATAAAAGTGTGAACAAATTCACGATAGCATGTCGACGAAACGCATACTAGAATGAGAGAAAAGTAATCTACAAATCAGTAATATTGAGTACTATGCAAATTTTACCTAATATCACAAACTATACGGTCAATTCCGAAAACCATCCAACCCACATTGACGTTGTAGTGTTAACGAGTTAAACAGAGCCGACGACAAATAACACGCCTGGGGGTATTGATCAGCCTAAATTGCCCAACTTCGATAAAATAAAATCGCATTCAATTGTTCAACTATTCTTATGTGCCTCTTCGGATTCGATAATAGAAGAGTCGTGAGCTATTTATACTTCAAGCCTGGTAAGTCTGGAACTGTTTAAATGATTTTTTCGCTTCTGCTAACTCAGGATCTTATGAGCAGTGCTATTTTCACGTCCTGTGTGGTCAGCGTATCCTGGAGACTCAAACATTCGCGGTATGTTTCTGCAATCGACATCTGGGGTTTCCCCTTGTACTTTATGAATAAGAAAATGTTATTTCGTACGAGTTTATGAGCATCAGATGATTTTCTAAAACATGTACTATCCATCGCATAATGCTTACGATCTGTTCCTCCCACCTTCGTTTCGGTTACGAAGCGAGTGTTGAAAGAAGGCCACTACTTTTGTGACTGCTAGCAAGAGCTTTTTTCATTCGACTGCTGAAGTCATTTTAACCTTGCCTCTGAGGGAGTTTCTTCTACAGGATTTCACTCCACATCTTGATATCATTGACAAGCATGGAGACGTCAAAATCAAGCTCACTGACGCAGTCGTTCACTTATATAATGACCAGACTACGGCTTAAACGGGACAACTGCGCACTCTGCTGACTGACAATCGCCAACATGGACAGTATGAGAGCGGTAAAAGTGGAACCTTTGAATCCAGTTTGGCTGAGCGCGCCTTTCTTCAATTCGACTCAGTTTCTACAGGAGTAGCTAATGCTGTACACCATGGGCGGCCTTTTGAATGCTAATGTAGACAGCATGCAACATCGTTTTTTCATCAACTGCCGAGTTCAGAGTTCCAAACAATAGAGCGAGTTCGTTTTGCAAGACCTGTATTTAGAGGACCAATGTTGCGCATGTAGAAATAAGGCTGGTTCGTCTGTTATTTTTTGTGGGTACCTTGCTGCCATGTCTATATTGCGTTATAATCCGTACCGTCTTTGAATGAGGCTAAGGAAAGCCTTCTCCTTCAAACCAAGTCTGTTATTCTTTTCGCGTTTTTGCGCCGTGCCCAAAACAACAAACATCGACAGTACTCAAAGTTTCTTTTGTGGAAAGCGGCTTAAACAGATTGCTTACACTGGAGAGACAAAAAACAATCATAAAAATGGATCCGATTGGGAAGGAAAAAATATGGGAATGACTGTCTTTAGAAGTCCTATTTGCCTTTAACTTATTATAATAACCTACTTTTACGCTTTCAGTAGGCTGCCTTTCATTTTTCGTTAAATTCCGCCAATTTAAGGTCGGTTTTCCATCATTAGGCCTCAGCTGCCTGAGCAATAGGAGTTCATGTTGATGAAGTTTATTCTCTTTAGCTGAGTACAACAACTATACGTGGCTTTTATTTAATATTCTTTGATCACTTTCGACACAATTAAATATTCGTTAACACTCGTTAACTAAGAATCAAAAGTTTAACCACTACTGCCGAAATACAGTTGGGCAGGGAGAATAGATATTTAGGCGGCCTTACAAGACGTTTTCGACGAAATGTGAAACCGAAACTGCCGGCAGGCTGACTGTAAGCCCGAAAGTTGACTGCAGTGGAGCAACTCACAATTGGAGAAACTTTAACTCGACAATGAAAAGGATTGTTTAACTACACTGTCCTCTCAGAAGAAAGACAACTACAAATCGACCAAACTGGATAAGTTCAATGTTGTAAGCTGCGAAAGGAGTACAGGCTGAACGTACTATAAAATTATTTAGAACACCCCAAAATGCTCTATGGAGACAAACGAAGTACAAATAAAACTCTGCGACTAACCTCTGCTCATATATATGCAGGCGGAATCCTGGAGACCGATGACCAGGTCAAAGCATCCCTACTTTCCAATTTCTTCAAATCCGTCTTAACCTGGGAGTGTTATTCTTTTGCTGCTGGTCCACCCGCTCGTCAACAAATATATCTATATATTCGACCCTCACACCTCCCAAAATACAGAATCGAGAATTTTCACAGGACAAAGTCAAGACCGAATTACTTCATCTGTAGTCTGCCAACACACTTTGGCCGAATATTTTTTCCTGCACCAGCACCACGAGAAGTAGCTAGCGATCTGCGTCATATTCCGAAAGTCTTTGAAGAAGGCAAACTCCCAGAAGAATTGAAGTGTGCACGCATCATCCAATCCATGAGGAAGGTTCATGTCTAGACTGTAAAAATGCCGTTCTTTCAGTCAGACTTGCATCAAATGTAAAATAATGGAGCGTATTATCAAGAAGCATTTAATGGGATCCCTGGAAAGAAACTAAATATCTTGCGCTGTCCAACACGGTTTTCGTCGAGGACGCTTTTGCCCCACGTGTGCTCTTTACTTGAATGAGAATCGGACGAAAGCCACAGATAAAGGTTATCCAGCTTATGTCAAATTTTTCGACTTTGCAGAAGATCTTGAACGCGAAAATTCAAGGACGAAATTTTTATTGGATGAGCGTGAACTGAGAATAAAGATTCGATGTTGGAAACCTCACATCGCAATGGACAAACCTAGAAAGTGTTGTAATATAATGTTCTGTTTTGGGCCTGCCAGTATTTCTACTCAACGTAAACGACTGCCTCAATGACTTACACTGATAAGATGTAATGTTTGCGGACAACATAATATATGGGCTTATGTAAACCACACTGACGACGTTATGAGGTTAAAATCGAATATCGACAAGTGATTCTCAAGTCGTCTACTTGAATTCCTAATTATAATACATCCAAGTGTCTGGCCCTACATATTAGCCCCATATTAGTCGCATTAAAAGAAGTGGAAACACACAAAAATTTGGGCATATGGACAACCGCCTATCGTGGTCGCTGCCCCGGCACCTCGGGAATCTCGCAACCTCTACGACACCTTCCTCCATATTCACATAACTATATGCCACTATCCGTGATCGACTCCCCTTTCCCGCCTTGACATCCTCATCAGCGTGACACTCCTATCTCCTGTACGTTTCCCCAATGAGCGACAGTTTTTTTT